TCTGTCCACCTTGTCTTCCCTATGTACACCCGAAGACCATCCCTGCGCCTTGCTGTACTCCAAGCCCAGCCAGCTATGGAAGCTGGGCTATGGCGCTGCCCTCAGCAGCGCCCTTCTTCCCACACGACTGCATGTGCACAGCACCTTGCCCCTATCGCTAGCAGCAGCACGCGAGCGTCCGCTCGAGCACCGCTGCCACAAACTGGCAAGTGCCTGAATGAGCCGCTAGGCAGCGGACTATTTCCTATATGGAAGGAGTCTGGCCTGGCCTGCGCCCAGAAACTTTCCGTAGGCCCCAGGTAGCTGGGCCTCTGCTGCTGCGGCTGGGCCCCGTTCAGTTACGCCTTCCAACTGTCTGTGTATATTGATGCGAATGTGGCCCAGGGCCTGCACTTCAGAAAAGGGCCTAGAAGGCCGTGGAAAGTATTTGCTGCTCGGGTCCTGGGTTCCCTCAACCAACTGACGCGACACAACTGCCTGAACCCCAAATACAAATTGACAGCATTGGGCCTCTCGTGATTTGTTAGGACCTCCTTCAGTTAGGGCGGGCACACATGCATCAGGGGCCCCTTAGGCCTGCCCAGGAGCCTTATCCTCGCAGTGGTTAGTATTTTTTAATTTTATTTTTATTTTTCCCAGTAGGCTGTGTTGCATCTTTTGTGTTCTTTTTTTTTTTTTGCCGTATAGTCTGTCCTTCCCCAGTGTAGGAGTATGGTGCCAACCTCTGAGCTGCCTTACAGGCGTTAAAGGGCCAGTACATGTAAGCCATCTGCTGCTGGCGGCAGGGCGGCCTCCTGTTTTGGAGGGAGGCCGCCTGCCGTCAATGTATTTTATCAATGGCGCGCGAGCCTCCAAAATTTTAGGAGAGGCTCGATCGGATTCTCAACTTGGCTGGGGCCATGTACTGGTGGTTGGTTTACAAACCTGTTCAGGGTTCTTCCCCGTAAGTGAAGCTGGGTAATGCTCCTTGTCATTTCCCGACCGGGATTTTGTGAGGGCCCGACCGACCTCTATTGATGTTATAATGAAAACAGAATCTTCGTTGGAAAAAAAAAAGAAGAAAAAAAGAAAGAAAGAAAGAAAGCTGGGAATGCCGCCATCAACAACAAACAAGCACAGATGGATACAGAACGGAATAGGTGGGGTGAGTAGATATTAGGTATAGGATGGACAAGGCCGAATGCAGATTCAATCACATTTTTTTTAGAACAGCGGTACGAAACTTACAGTTCTGCTCTTATCACCTCTTCTAGCGGAGGGACGGTTTTTCAACAAAAAAAAAAAAAAAAAAAGAACTTACAGTTCTGCGGAAGGCAGTTCTGGTTCCTTGAGCAATGGTTGTAAATGGACATCAACAATCCCTATGAGCATGTTTAGAGCGCAAACCTCGTTCTTCAATGTCACCTGCCGGTCGCAGAAGTCACATCGACGCAGAGTGACAACAAGAGAGTATGAACACACAAGTTCACACACAGACTGCGCTCGCATAATTCACAAACAAGAGAGTGAAACTCAGCCACAACTGATGCCACCGATCCCACCATCGCCCTCGAGACAGTGATGTCGAGGAGTGGTAAAGCAGAGGTAGAAGCAGGGGAAGCAATCAGTAAAGGGGAGAAGCGTTGGGGTGAGTTGTATGGCAGATTCTGACTTGCCGGTGGAATAGGATCCGGACTGACTTAAAAAAAAAAAAAAAAAAAAAAGGATCCGGACTGACTGACGCTCCCTAGAATGGATATGGAGCCGGAGCCA